ACATAATTGTCATCATAGAAAATCCCAAAGAATTCACACACAACAATACAAATTAGTAAGTGAGCTTAACAGGAACACAGGATATAAAGTCAATACACAAAAATTAATGTAAATACTTGTGATGAACACTTGGAAACCCAAGTTAAAAACCAGTGCCATTTACAATAGCTTTCCCCAAAATGAAATACTTAGGTACTCATTTAACGTACCATCTCTGTATGCTGAAACTACACTACACTCATAAAAGAAATCAAATGAGACCTATATAAGTAGAGACACATACTGTGTTGGGGGATTGAAAGATTCAACATAGTAATAGAGATTTAAATTTTTCCCAAATTGATATACAAATTTAATGCAATTCTAATTTTAAAAATTGGTATTTTTCTGTAGATTTAGACAACCTAATATTAAAATTTATATGGAAAGGCAAAGAAACTAGAATCGCCAAAACAGTTTTGAAAAAGAATGAAGTTGGAGGAATCACATTAGCTGAATTTAAGACATACTTTAAAGTTGCAGAAAGGAAGGCTGTATTATTGGTGAAGGGATAGATACATAGATCAATGGAACAGAATAGAGTCCATAAATAAACATACAGAAATATGGCCAACTGATTTTTGACAGGAGCAAAGACAACTCAATGGAGAAAGGATAATCTTTTCAACAAATGGTGTTGGAACAATTAAACTCCATGTGCCTCCCCCCAAAAAAGGAAGATGACCTAAGTCTCACACCATAAACAAAAATGAACTCAAAATGGGTCATAGATCTAAATGTTAGACATAAAACTATAACACTTATAGAAAACATTGGAGAAAATCTTCATGACTCAGGGTTAGGCTAAAAGTTCTTAGACATGACATTAAAAGCATAATCCACTTAAAAATTTGACACCTTTTTCATCAAAATTTTTGCCCTGCAAAGAAGCAGCAAAAAATATATATAGATATGATACCGGTTTTGTAAAATGAAACCCCATAAATATTTACACAAAAAATTTTAGAAGTGTTTTTATCCTTGGGGAACTAGTACCAGAAGGTTGGTGTAAACCTGTTTTTGACTCTGTATCCTTCTTTGGTTGTTGAATTTTTATGAATATCTCTTACTTTCATACAAGGTCCCAAATCTCCCCACCCTTAGCAGCTTTCAAATGAGGTTAGGCAGCAGTCTGCTAGAAAAGTTGTGGGGAGGTGAGGGTTGACTACTCAGATCTCTTCCAACTCTAAAATCCTAGGATTGTATGATTAGATTCAATGTAAGATAATTAAAAATTCCCTAAGTGAGAAAATGTTTAGCATATTTTATTTAATTTCAGAATTATTGAAAAAAAAATCTTAAAGCCCCAGGGCTCACCAGTGCTTCCAACGGACTCAAATCTTGATAGATGATTCTTATCATTTGTCAGGAGTAGCTTGATATCTAAATGATTAGTAGCCCCTTTCTAGTATATTTTCTGTTTTCTTAAAATTTATTTGAGAGAGAGAGAGAGAGTGTGTGTGCATGAGCAGGTGGAGGGGCAGAGGGAGAGGGAGAGAATCTCAAGCAGACTCCCTACTGAGGCCCGAATTGGGGTTCAGTCTCAGGACCCTGAGATCATGACCTGAGCGGAAACCAAGAGTCAGATGCTTAACCGGCTGAACCACCCAGGCACCCCTCAAGTGTATTTTCTTAAACAACTTTAAGAGGGTCCCCTTCTTTTGTAAAACAGAAGAGACTGCATTCCATTTATTGGATCACAGTCCAGAAAGCATAGTCTTCACATGGGATCTTCTTTTTCATCTTTATAAGCCCTAACTTACATTAATTTTACCTGTAAACTACATTAAATCTCTGAATTAGTGGGGTAAAAATCTGAAACTAGTGCACCTAGCTGTAAACAAGGCATGAATTTTCATAATGAAATGTTAGACTGAAGAGCAGTGGTGAATTTACTGTAAGGTTAATGAAATTTAAGCTTCAAGGACCTCCATCTGTGCAGATCTTTCTGAGGGCCTTTTGGGGCCCTAGCAATATGCTTATATTTTTGTAGATTTGCAAAAGTAAGATATTTTAATTATAATCAGCAAAAAACAGTGTCTCTTTCCACTTTGATTTTCCCTCCATCACACTTTTCTTCTTGATGAAGGGCAACAGAGGGGCTATGGATATTTGGGGGATTCAGTTAAGGGGAAATAGATCCCATTTGAGTTTAGTGGCATATGTTTTTGTGGTTTGCAGCGAATCTGTGCATAGTTAATTATTGCTAGCCATACCGGCATAATAGCTCCCTATGCCAGTTCACTTGCTGAAGAGACATGAAGATCCATGCCAGAGGTTATGTCACCCTATATGATTGTGCCCAGGGGGCTCTGATATTGGAAGTATTGGATGATGTAGGGGCAACAAAGTTGGAAATGCTCAGACTTAAAAAGTGGTCTGTGAAAAATTCTTCCAAATCTTACAAATGAAATAGACTAGTCTTTCAAATTTAATAGCTATCCTTAAATATTTAGACATTATCAAAAATGAGTTATAAAGCCATGAGAGAAAACAAATTTTGGTCAAACACACTAGAGGAAAAACAGAATTTTTTTTCTATTCTTCCTATAGAAAATTATATTCCAAAATTATTGTTAAATGAAAAGGCAGTCAAAGAACAGCGTGTCCGGAAAACATAGGGGGTAAGTATTACAGAGCTGTGCCAGGCAGTTAATTAAACCATCGCTACTTTTCTAGACTTCTGATATTTATGGTATTTTCAGTTTTTAAGCTTTGCATTTTGTTGTGATTTCCTTTTCTCATTACAAATAAATATTTGCTTTCAGACCTAGTTTTGTATTTGTAACTTTGTGCTTTTTTTTTTTCTTAAAGAGTACTGCCCAAATTATGTAAGTGTCAAGCCCTTAAAACTTAAATCATCTCTGCATAGGGCTTTTAAATATTTGGGCATAGAATAAAACTTTTCTTTTTGCTTAAGGATTCTTAGTAACACATTCAAGTGAAATCATGCTTTACTTAGTCTAGAATATGACCTCTGCAATGGAATTGGTAACTCTGGGGTGTCAGAACTAAGAACAGTGAGAGGCACACAGATTTATCACCAGCCATCCTGCAGGAAGGAAACCTGGGTGGAAGTTGGCACTGAGTATAAATTTCTGTTCCAGAAAAGAAAACTGCAAAGGAGGTCTGCTGAAATGACCTGGTAGAGCTTTTATCTAATTTAAAAGAGGAAAGACTTTGAGGCTTTTCAGAGAAGTATGAAACAGTAGATTTGGGATATCTAGGTTCAATTCACCTAGTTTTGGTTTCTGCACTATATAGGAAAAGTTAAGGTAAGGTTGACACAGTGGATGATGATGACAATACTTTCCTATCTCACTGTCCCTTCCTATCCTCTGTTAGTATTTGAATACTGTACTGGATTGATGGATGTTATGGGAGATCCTGTAGACAATAGAGCCAGTAAATGTGATCTTATGACAATTTATTTCCCTTGCAAAGGCAGATGGGATTAATGTACTGGGATCATCATTCTTAAGCAAGTTATGCAAGGTCACTGGCCCTTCCATGGAGAGGAGTTTACCTACATACATATTTCTGTTTAACCCATTTTTAAGTAGTACTGCTTGCTTGCTGTTTTTGGTATATATGTCCTCATTAAAAGATTAATTGTCCTTTTATAGCCCAGATAAGGCAAAAGGCAATTGTAATTATATCTCACCATGGGCCCACAATTTGTCTCCAGGGGCAGTAATAAAAAATTGTTAGAGTAACCCCCCTGTTTGCCAGAATGACCATGCAGCGGTCACCATAGAGAGGAGGGGTCACAGGTTGCAGGAAAATCCCTCAGTCCTCTCTGACTCCCAATTCTAAAATGGTCTGGACTAAGTACAATTCATATAATTGAAGATTTCCTCCTTCAAGCTGGAGTCAGGGTGGGTAATAACACTATTGCTTAGCATCACATTTGATAGGGAATAAAAAGTATGTGGAAGTCTTTAAATAGTCTCTGCTGCTTGATGTCATAGAAATTCTATTTCATTGTGATCAAAAGAATCAGAGTACAGTCCAGAGAAGTGTACAATTCCTAAATTCAGCAATTCTGACAACAATGGGCCACTGTCCGAATTATCAAGTAATTCTTTTATTTGGCTGTCCAAGATTCTTTGTGATTTAGTGATGAAGTCTGTAAGGCAGAATAATGATGCATTCTAAAGGAGAAAATGATAGTAGGATTATGGCTGCAAGGCAGAGAGGACAATGGCAGGTTTGACTCCAGCTTGTTTGCACAAAGCATTTCCCAGAGCATATGAAGTATTCCTGGTGTTGTGAATTCTGTGAGGTTTTATCTTTCTTTATACTTTTTTTCCTTATCATTTTCTGGGTGGAATGAGCTTGAAGAATCAAGTAATATTTCATGGTCATGTATAAACATAGACAAACATGTGGAGGTGATTTAGCAAAGCAAACAGTCCCATTTACATAGGACAATATTCTTGATGCTGGTTGAGGCTAGCTCTGAATGTGTGGATTTGAAAGGAAGCTACATTTCCAGGGAAGAAATATCACCCTTCCCCAGTTCTACCCAAAACGCATTTATCAAGTAATCAGAAAGAAGAAAAGTCAAGGGTTATTGACTTTTTGTGATGTCATTCCCTTCTATATAAATAGACACCCTAAGGTAACAGGTTTGGTTCTTGTACGCCTGAGCATTCCCACCCAAACCTCCCTGAACCTAGAGCTCATGCACCTATAATGAGATCACGAATTGTACTGGCTTTGCTTTGTGATCAGCATATTTCTTTTTAATGGTGTCAGGTTCTACTTTTCTCTGCAGCTGGGAGAGGTAACTGTCCTTTCATCCTCTCCAAAAGAGGTACCAAAGATGACAGTCTTTGGGATTCCCCTCATTGGGTTGTTGGATCTCTCTTACTTTAGTGATAACCACCGTCAGGGATCTCATGCTTGGTCAGGCCTGCGAAGGGACACCCACTAGCTCTGTTCTCATCTTACTCCACCTTTTTCCGTGTCGGTCTTGATCTGCTCCTCAAGATCCTCTGGGGACACATAAAAGTCCTCTTCTGGCACCGATGATTTGGGCCGGCAGCGTCCACAGCAGCAGTTGCAACAGCAGCATAGGCAGCAGCAAAAATAACAGCCAGTCAAGAGGCCAATGATGACAAACAGGGTCTAGGGGAAGCAGAGGCAAAGCAAAATAGGGGTGAGGGGTGGTGGAGTGTGGGAGAACCCCAGAAATAAGTGTGCATCCGTGTATCTTCAGAGACCTGAAGATAATGCAGTTCACCCTGCAGACCACATATACACCCTCATCCTTATTCCATACAAGAATTGCCTTTTTAGTTACTTTGGAAACAAATTCCTTATAAAGTTTTGCCTAACAAGTTCACAGAAAGTGACTTGTAGCCTAAGTAGTGAAGGGTGATGTTTTCTTCTTTATTCATAAGCTTTGGTGGTCATTATTAAGAGTAGAGCAAACAAAACAAACAACCTCTACAGATCAAATGAGCTAACCAAGGGGACTGAATTATTCTCACCAAAGAAGAGCTTTTGAGAGCTCTCCCTCCCACCTCCGCATTTCTCTTAGTCACCAAGTCCTGCCAGAATCTCTTCAAGATCTCTTACATCCTCCCTCCTAAAGATGGTAGGACTTTAGAAAGATCTTGTTATCTCTGCCTTTAACACTTCAATAGCCTCCTAACTAGCCTCCCTGCCTCTACTCTTGCCTCCTATTCTACTCTGCACATTGTTGTTGGAGCTTTCTGAAATACATGTTCTCTTGAACCTATGTAGCAACTTTCCTGCCTCTCAGGAAAGGCTTGAGGTCCTTATTTATAGCCATCTGTCTTCAAACCCTTCTGTGAATTAGCACAGCCCTGTTCCTGCCATACCTGCCATAGATTTGCTCTCCCTGTGGATTCATCTGCCCAGAGGGCCCCTTCCCATTCCCCAGCCATCTAAAAAATGTCCACTGTGTGTTTAAGATTCATCTCAAAGATCCTCTCTCTGACATTGTTCCTGATCCCCCCCAACTCTAAAACAGTTTCTCCTTCCTTTGTGCCCCAGCTGTACTCCATATAAATTTCTTTAGGACAAAATTCAATTTAAGACATTGATCAGTTTATATGTCTGTCTCACATTAGACTGAGGTTCTTGAAGGCTGGAACTATATGTTAGTCATCCTTCAGTCCCTCCTAACATAAGGATTTAGTACCTGGCATGTGGAAGACAATAAATATCTATTGAATTAATGAATGTATGAAGTAATTAATAGATAAACAAATGACTTGTTCCTCCTCGTGAACAGCCAGCACCAGGGTTTCCCCACAAGCATATAAAAGGTTTGCTTAGGGGTCCCTGGGTGGCTCAGTTGGTTAAGTGACTGCCTTCAGCTCAGGTCATGATCCCAGGGTCCTGGGATTGAGTCCTGAATTGGGCTCCCTGCTCATCAGGGAGCCTGCTTCTCTCTCTGCTCCTCCCCCATGTTCATTTTCTCTCAATCAAGAATAAATAAATAAAAATAATTTTTAGAAAAAGATAAAAGGTTTGCTTTACTAAGTCTGCCATAGCTAAAAATGAAAAGAAACTTTCCCAACCTCCAATTTAAACCTTTTGTTAATTGAGCAAAATAAATTTGATTTTTTAAAAAAATACGTTATTTGACATAGGAAGTGTTTTATACATCTTTGACTCAGAATGCAGATTTTATCTAAAAAGAGAAAGAGGATAAACATCACTTTGTGTATATGCAGTTCTTCAGGAACCTAAGGTAGACATCTTTAACGTTGATGAGCCTCACCTGGCTCATTCCTATTTCTTAGCCCAGCACCCCATCTCTGACTCTTGTCCCCATTATGGGGTAGAGCCTACAGTGGCATGGAGTGAGGGAGCTTTGGTCACATACTCATGCCGATAATCTTTTTGCCATGTATACTCTACATTTTCATAGACTTAAGTAAATTACTCTGAAAACAAAACTGCAACACCCTTCTCACCAGCTGCCTCCAAAACCCTCCTGTGCAGTATTCCTGAGCTACTGCCCCAACAAGCTACTCCTTTTTTTACCTACCTTTGTCCTTTTTTGTCTTTACCATGCAATTCCCATATTTTTCTTTTCTCTGAAATTTTCCTTTAATTCATATACTGTTTTGTTCTTTAATTATTCCAACTAGATTGTTTGCCTGTTGCAGAAAGAACTCTGCCTTACATACTTACAGTGCTTAGCACACTACTAGGCATAAGTAGGAGTCCAATATTTTGAAATACGTATTTTCATGGGTATAATAAATCATTCCTGCAGTGCATACTTAATACATGATCACTATGTGCCAGCCCTCTCTAATGGGCGCTGTGCAATTAGGTTTTTGATATAAGCAGCAGAAGAAGGTAGATTTCTTTGTAACCGTATTTTTAAAGAGCCATATCAGGAGTTATTTCAAAAATTTCTTATACTTTTGGACAGCTTCTGCTTTTCTATATGAATTTTGATCAATTTTGTCAACTTCTGCAGCAAGGAAGCCTATTCTCGTTTTTATGCAGGCCAGCCCCAGTATGCAACCTAGGTGCTGGTATGTAAATTATCTAGAATGCCAGATATACCTTCCCATGGAGAGAATGTCATGCCTGGAGGTTAGATTTGCAGGCAAGCCCACACTGTTATATGAACACTCAATCTATTATAAATGACATTGTCATTATGTACACTCTTGTTCTAAGGTCCAAATCCACTCAGTGGGAACTTGTCTCCCTCCCAGGTCTTCAACAATAGAGAAAGGGGGTTTCAGTGGGAATCCCAGTTATCTCTAGGAAAAGAAATTTTGGAGACTGCAGAAGACAAGTGAGGCTTCAGGTTGCAGACTCTCCATGCTTATGTATAACAATATATTCTCTCTCCTCCTGCATGTATAAGACTCTTCAATTTAGCAAGATTTATTTTAGTGGAAGAAAATAACAATCCCTCTTTTTGGAGATCTGTAGCTTTTTAAATTATTATCACCCATATGAATGTGAGTTCATATGATTTCCCAAATTATATGAATTGTACAAAAAATATGCTGATGGACCATATGTATGGTTCACATGTAAATACCCTTTTATCAGAAGATAAGGATATTAAAACTCATAAACAAGTATATAACCATCATTAAACACTCATATACTAGGTATTCCTAGGAAACCACAAAATATTTACTGTCAGAAGTCAATTCTGATTGCACTAAGTCCTTAAAAATGTTGCCTTCTTCTTGATCAGATATCCTTTTTTTTTTATTTCTCCCTCTGTGTCTCTTCAACACCCTTCCAGCACTACTTAATTTTCACTTTCCCCCCCTCATTTCCTTCTCCACTACTTGAAGTCAGGCCCCATGTGAGCCTATCACATAATTACCATGCATTCTCCCAAGTACTATGTTTGCTCCGGTAGCTTATGCTATAGATAGTAAAGTACATGGTTAAATTTGTCCTATAATAATTTACTAAGCACTTGTCACACTAATAAATTATTTTTGTTTTGAGCAGTGAGTCAGTTCTTAGTCATTATGGGGAGAGGGAGGGCAGTCAGAATTAACCTGAAGCCTCAAATTCAATTATAATTAATGTCTAGAGGTATTTTAAGTCCTGCTGTATTTTATAATTATTTGACAAGCTAAAGCAAAAAAGAAAAAAAAGATCCTCAAATAGCAGCTTTCAGTCAAAGTGATTATCTCTTTTTATTTACAAGAGTTTAATAATATAGTAAGGTTAGGTTTTCTCTGAGATGGAGTCTAAAAGAGTGAATAATACCACAATTTTTCTAGGAAACTGTTTCTAAAGAAAAAATTGATTTACCTTTGCCCACCAGCTTGACAGCATGAAGTAAGTGTTAACATTTTCATCTCCAAATTGCTCGGCCACATACAGTCCCAGTGATCCATACTTGTCATATATGTTTCTCTTTGACATGTCAGTAAGTATTGTGTGGGCGTTGTTGATTTCTTTAAACTTGTCAGCAGCAGCTGGATCATCTGGATTCTTGTCTGGATGGTGTCTCAGGGCCAATTTTCTTTTAAAATTAAAAAAAAAAGTGAGGAAAAGTATTATTTGACAAGAATTGCATTGACATTTTAGGAGGGGCACTATTCATTTGTACATCGTTTTTACATGCAATTACTGTGAAGTGCTAAGTTTCACAAAAATGTTGATGTAACTAAGCAAGTTTTCATCAGATGTTGCCTCTTGTTTCTGATGTGCAGGCACAGTAGTATTGTTTCTCTCCTCACATCCTCAAAGGAATTCTCAACTCCTGCATTTTTGTAGTCTGTTCTTGCTGTTGGCAAATATGTGAAGTTTATTTTTACCTGGCAGCTGATCAGTGGCCCACCTCAATATGCAGAGGCCTTTAAGAGTTTGTGCAGTAGGGTCAGTTTACACCAAAATTCCATTTAGCACTGTAATAAGTTTCTAGAATTAACAAAACTTCACACCACATATTCAAAAAGTTAAACTCAACTGTCAAAAAAAAAAAAACCTGATTCATAGTCCCTTGAATAAATAGTAGGACCCTTTTCACAGATCTTTCATAAATCCTTACTCCCTTTTGTTTTATGAGCAACTACTATGACTTCCCTTGTTTTCAAATGTATATTTGACTTCTTTTCAAATAGATCTTTCCACTTCAAATAATCTGTAGAAGTTTACTTGTGAGTAAAATGTCCTCACTTCTCTGTGGATCATAAATCAGTTCCTGAAGGGTATGGGTATGTGTTATGTTGCGGGGTGTGTGTGTGTGTGAGAGAGAGAGAGACAGAGAGACAGAGAGAGAGACAGAGAGAGAGAAAGATATTTGGGGGTTATTTATTCTTCAGTTATACTCAAGTATTAAAAAACCTGTAAAATGAAGGTAAGAACTGAGCTATGACAGTCAGGGTCTGACTGGTGGCCATTTCCTTCACTTCCCTCTACAGACAGATTTAAATAATGATTAAAGCCATGTTCAAAACTTGAGTCTATAGTAATTTTTCCACTATAAAGTCAATGAATTTCATGACTCTGTACTGGAAATTTTATATGACTTGTTCTCCCTACTATGCCCATCATAGCTATATGTAGGAGTATACCTTAAGCCTTTGTTTTGGTTTAGATTAAACCATTTCATTTTAATGCAATAATAAAAAGCCATAAATAGAGCAGAAAAGTAAAGTATACTTTAGAAGTCAATCTACACAATAAACAGGGAAAAAAATCACGCCACTTTAGGAATTAAAGTATTGCTGGTTAGGAAGTAGGTGATTAAGCAGCTCAGCATCAGTGTGCTTAAAAAGTACCAAAGTACTTAAAGTATAAATCATGGTGTAAAATCCATTTCAACTCTGAACTCAGAATAAACAAAAAGAATAAAGCAATGATAGTTCATTTTAAATTTGTTTAATCAAAACATTTCATGCTTTTTGAGAGACATTTGAGTTATCTATAAATTCTTTTTTTAAAAAAGATTTTATTTATTCGACAGAGAGAGACACAGTGAGAGAGGGAACACAAGCAGGGAAGTGGGAGAGGGAGAAGCAGGCTTCTCGCCAAGCAGGAAGCCCAATGTGGGGCTCGATCCCAGGACCCTGGGATCATGAACTGAGCTGAAGGCAGACGCTTAACGACTGAGCCACCCAGGTGCCCCTCTATAAATTCTTATAGATGGGACCATTGGAGTTGTTTTTTATGTGCAGAATTCATGATGAAATCATGCTAAATAGCACAAAATGCCTATTTTGTCATTTAAAAAACATTTTATAATGTTTACTATATGCCAGCACTATTATAAGCATGTTATAAATATTAATTCATTAATATTCACCACAACTCTATGAAATAGGTACTATAATGATCCCATTTTACAAGTGAGGAAATTTAGCCACTAGAAAGCTAAGTAACTTGCCCAATATCATACAGCTAATAATTAGAGCCAGGCTTTGAATACAGGCAATCTGACCCTGAGCACATGCTCTTAACCAGCACTATGCTGCCTTTTTGATATTTTTAAATTAAAAAAGTAAGGCACACAGAATGTTAGTATGCCATTGTAAGGACTTTGGCTTTTGGTCTAGGTGACATGGGAAGCCATTGGGGTTTTTTGAGAAAAAGAGTGGTATGAGCTGACTTTAGTTTTAGAAGGATTACTAACTCTTAGAGAGGAAAAAGGCCAAAGCAGCAACACTCTTTTAGGAAAAGTTCCTGGTGGTTCTGGTCAGTGTGGTAGTGGAAGATATAATGAGAAGTGGTTGGATTCTGGATATATTTTGAGGGCTAGCTGATGGATTGGATGGGGGATATAAAAAAAGAGAAATCAGAGATGGCCCCAGAGTTTGGGCCTGAGCAAAAGAAGTTTGTAGTTACTATTTAATGAGTTGGCAATACTTTTTTTTTTTTTTTTTTTTTTTTTTTTTTGCAGTAGGGCATGGTTTGCTAGGATTTAGAGTTGTGTTTTAGATACCTTTGAGATACCTATGGGACTTCCAAGTGGACATGGAAGTAAGAGAGATATATAAGCCTGGCGTTTAGGCAAGAATTATTGAGGGAGATGTTATGTTTGAGAGTTCTCAGAAGGTAGATGGTATTTAGAGCCATGGAACTAGAAAAGATTCCCAAGGGATTGGGGGTGGGTCCAAGAGAAGTCCAAAACCTGGGCTTTGGGAAGAAAGGACAAGCAGAAGAGATGAACAAAGAAAGGCCAATGATGCAGAAGGAAAAATCTGGAGAATATATCTTGGGGTCTAAGTGAACAAAGTATTTCAAGGAAGGGAGTGGTCATTTGTGTCAAATGCCATTAACAGGTCCTATATGATGAAGACTAAGAATTGATCACTGGATTTAGTGATATAGAAATCTTTGGTGACCTTGACACACACACACACACACACACACACACACACACACACACAATGGAATAAAGCAGAAAAACAAGTAGAAAAGAAAGAAAAACATGAAAGGTTATAACCACAATTACCAGTGCTTTTAGCTACACATTACGATTATAGGTGATTATTTTGTTTTTAATTGTTACAAAAAAAAACCAGATTACTTGTGTAGTTTCCTTCTGTAAGCATTTTTAAGCTCATTATAAATGTTCTCTTTTAATAGCTGAAAGTTTAGTTTTTTCCTCTTAAATTACCTACTACCAAATTAGAAGGGGTAAAAAAAGGAAGAAAGAAGAAATTCTCTAACTTCAATGATACGATGATCATCATCAAAAAACATCAAGTGGATTCTTTAAACACATTAATTTTAATGGCATAATATTCCTGGAATTCTCACACTGTGCTCTGGGATACAATTGCAGCATTTTCCCGTACTAGTTCCAGAAATCATTTCTAGGCCAATCAAATACAAGAGCTATTACTTCTGCCTTGAAAAAAGAAACCCCTGGAAAGTGCCTCTTTGCAATACATTCTCTTGTTTTTAAGTTTCAGTTGTAGACTGATACACACTGCCCAAGACTTAGCCAGAGAAGCCTGGCTTCCTGTCATATTTTAAGCTGCTCAGATCTTTGTCAGCTCACAAGGGCAGATGCACTCAACCATTTATCACACTCCTCTAACAATAGCATTGGCAAATTCAGAGGGCTGGACCATCTCCATTTGTAACAAATCCAATTCCTGGTCATCAGCAGCATTTTGACTCCTCTTGGCAGATACTCTTGGCTCTGAGGAATCCTTGGGAAATATGACTAGCAGAGGCAGCTGCCAAAATTACACAACTGCTCAGGAAGTAGTTGGTCAATGACCCATCTTTGGGAATTGCCTATAGAGCAAGGAAGCATGTATGGAATTTAGGGTGAAAGGAAGTACCTAGAATACATTTAAATATAAAATTCACCTAATTCATTTTAAAGATCTTTCTTATAATTTCTCATTTTACGCTTAAAAGTGACATAATATGCAACCAGAATGTGTGCCTTTTATTTTATTATTTTTTTATTTTTATTTGTGTGTGTGTGTGTGCCATTTATTTTAAATCTCTCTATACTTAGTCATCTATTAATCTGGTATGGCTATAATTGATGTTAGAATAATAGCATCAATCCCTCTAACTTCCACTTCAAAATCCAATAACAACTGTCAACTGAAATGCATAGTGAATTCAATGAGTGGCAGATAAGATAAACGTAGGATGTATGGTTGTAATTACTTAATGCCCCTATTCTGAGGCAGTAGCATAAGTCTAATAAAAATTACAGTGTTCTGCCCAGTTCTCTTCCTCTTAACATCTAACCCTCTTAACATCAGATCTACCTACTACTCTCTACCAGTCTCTAAGTCATCTAAGACCCGATTCTGACCATGTTGCCCCACCTCTAGGCCAGATCTATCTCCATGGGATTAAAATGTCACCGGAAACCTTGTTTAGGAAAGGTGGTATCTAAGCTTTCGGGAATTAAGTTCCATCCTGGCATGGGTGTGTCTATAAGTTGCCTTTCCCCACTCAACACATTTTCAGCTGCTTTCTCCAATGACCACCTATTGTTTCTTATTTCAAAATTTCTCCATTACGGGGGTGCCTGGTGGCTTAGTAGTTAAGTGACATGACTTAGACTCAGGTCATGATCTCAGGGTCGTGAAATGGAGCCCCATGAGCCTGCTTAAGATTCTCTCTCTCCCTCTCCCTCTGCCCCTCGCACCTTCCCCCCTCTCTTAAAAAACAAACAAAAAAAAATTCTCCATTGCGGTATGACTTTCTGCTAAACTCTCTCAGCCACAAAGTTTATTGTCCCTCCAATGTCCCAGAAGAAGCTACCTGCTGCCTAAGAAGAAAGAATAGAAAAGGGAGAGTGATTTCTTCCCATATCCTAGAATCCTTAAAACTACCCTTGTGACAGAGTCAGCATCTACTGCAAAGATAGAAAAAAAAAAAAAAAAAGCAAAATCTGAGTTTGAAAAAGCTCAGGTAGCAAAAGAAGCAAAAGCTGAGCTCAAACATAGACTATTCTTTCTAGAAAAAAGTTGGCTATAATGGGAAAGAGACTGGTTGCAAATAGGAAAATGAACTGTTATAAACCAGAGTTTGAAGGTGAAA